AAAAATATATTTATATATAATTTATATTTTCCTAATTTTGTTTTACACTTTATTTTAATTTTTTTACACTTTGTAAAAAAAATAAAAATAAAATAAAAAAACTTTTTTTTTTCTTGTCAGTTTATATCAAGCAATCACTATGACAGCTTGATAAATTAACTTTTTTATTTTATTTTTGGCTATTAGGCTGATCCAAACTTAGGAACAGCTAATAATAACCTTAGAGACTGATCCTGACTTTAGTCAGATTCAGAACTCACTAAAAGCTCTTTGATCGTGCCTAGACGATAAGAACTGATACATTTCACTCAAAAGATATACATTGTATCTTTTGAGTGAAATGTATCTAAACAGCGGGCTCTCGAGCTTTTTATTTTTATTTTTTTACACTTTGTAAAAAAAAAAAAAAACAATTAAAAAAAAAACTTTGTTTTTTCTTGTCAGTTTATATCATGCAATCACTATGACAGCTTGATAAATTAACTTTTTTATTTTATTTTTGGATATTAGGCTGATCCAAACTTAGGAACAGCTAATAATAACCTTAGAGACTGATCCTGACTTTAGTCAGATTCAGAACTCACTAAAAGCTCTTTGATCGTGCCTAGACGATAAGAACTGATACATTTCACTCAAAAGATATACATTGTATCTTTTGAGTGAAATGTATCTAAACAGCGGGCTCTCGAGCTGTCAAAATAAATAGCAGAGAGGTGAGGTGAGTCACTGCTGCCTCTCTGCTATTTTGAGCTGTCAAATACGGGATCGCAAATTGCGGTCCTCTATTTGCATGTAACGGCTTCATTCTTTCATTAATGAAAGGAAGAAGCTTTTACAAAAAGCTTAATTATTTCATTAATTAATGCCTCAATACTGAGACATTAATGAATGACTGTTAAATGCTGAGAATCAGCAAATACCGGCATTACAAAGCCTGATATAACTCGTCACGTACAGTGTACGTGGCCAGTCATATAGGCACAAAGTGACAGGACGTACACTGTACGTCTCCCGTCACGAAGGGGTTAAATCACTTACAATGGATGCTGCTCCATTGTTTTAGTTTACTGCAGAATCAGCAGGCCCTCCAAGCCCTGATATTTTGTTTAGGGTAGCTACTTTCCCTTGCAGGGTCCTATGGAGCCACCCTTGTGTGTGCTAGTAAGCTGTGTGTGCCCCCAAAAAAACACAGGCACCACAGCCAGCCACTCCTTTATCCCCCAGCTCCCCTTTCCTCCTTCCTTCTTCCACCCTCCTTCCTTTTCCTTTCTCCAAGCAAGTAGATGGATGGCTGCTGCAGAATGTGCTGTCCCTTGACAGAAAGAAATACTTTGCTGGGCGATTTATATTTGTTTGATATGGATTCATTATTGAAAAACAGATTAAGAGTTTAATACTACTTTAAAAGCAGAATTATGGGGTGAGTGAAAACACTCATCCCCATAATTCAAGCTCACCTGTGACA